TTACAAATGATGTGTTTCTGTTTATTGGGGCAATATTAATTGCTTGATAAGAGTTCATCAGTTGATAAGAAGCAGACCTTAAAATGCCAGGAAAATTCAAGAGTACACAGAGGAGCACATTTAAAATAGTCTAATTCAAAAATAAACTGGATGTATAGTGCAGATGTACAGTGGGGTCCAAAAGTTTGAGACCACACTGCACTATTTCTAGGTCACAATTCAAACTGAAGCAAATTTAGGAAATTGACCATGTTAAGGCCTTTGTACAAATGGTCTTTTGGCTCTTATTCCATCCACTGAAACACATGACTCTCATGTGGATTTGAGCTTCTTGTTTGGGCTTCTGAATGAAGAAAGGAGTCCATGCTAGCTTGAGTGCATGGCGTCATTAAAGAAATTCATTAAAATCATTAATCAAACTCATTAAATCATTAAACATCATTCATAATTTAAATAAAAACAGCTTTACCCTCCAGATGATCAGGACAGCATGTCGGTCATTAAATGTTGCTCAGTAAAGCCTTTCCATCATTTCTTAGCTTAATAATTTTGACTAATTTACTACCACCGCTGTTCTCACTGCAGGTTTGTTTTGAGGAGTTCTGGAATTTTTTTTTTAGAGAACATTTATGGGTGATTGTTATTGGCTGATTGGACGATTGTGATTGGTGTCAGTTAGTATCATGATAGGTGTGAAATTTCTCATGGCAGAATTTCAGACCTTGAAGTTATTTATTCAGGACTTAAATTTGATCTTTCATTAATTCCACACTTAAGCTTATATAATACATGCCTGTGTGAGTGTGTGTGTGTGTGTGTGAGTGTGTGTGTGTGTGCGTGTGCGTGTGCGTGTGTGTGAGTGTGTGTGTATATATGTCCTTTACTTATGCGGGTTGACATCCATTTATGAGTAATTTAAACTCAGCAGAACGTTTGGATTGAGCAAATGAGAAACAAAAAGTTGTGGTAATTATAACTGAATTGCCCAGAATTACTGCTACCTAAATATCTGAGTTACTTTTAATTCCTTCCTCCAGTTCTTCCTCGTGCTGCCGAGACTGGCTCTGACTCACGAGTGCAACATCATCTGCCTTCAATAATTCACTGTGTTATTTTGGAGATTCACTCAAGCTTCCCGAGCTTCCTCCAGCAGATTGGTTCTGTCTATGAATGATGAAGCTCATCATGTGCTTTTTTTTTTTTACATTTTCAGAATACAAACGTTCTGACCTTGAAGAAAAAGAGACAAAATTAGGCTTAACTTACAGTGTCAGGACTGGCAAGTTAGTGTTTGTTTTTTTTTAACACAAGCGTAGGTAGGGTTAGGTTTAGGCTTAGAACATTCTTAGTACATATAAGCACTTGATACGTAATACTTATGGGTCACATTATAATACCACCTATATGCTTGCATATACAATGCATATAGGATGTATTATGTCATGCATGTATAATACAAATAAACGTATGCATGTATAATGCAGTACAAGTGTATAATACAAATGGGGCCTACTGTTTCATATATTTGTTGTGAAATCTTAACATAATGTAAAAGGTAACTGCATTTTTCAAATTATGTTAAAAAAAAGAACAAACGACAAAAATGGAGATGCAACATGTTTGCATCACAACAACGGTATACTATATGTAGAGCATATGTTATTACATATAGGTACTTATACACAGGCACTTACATATATAGGGCATATTATTATTATGTATAGGTACTTATACAAAGGTACTTACATGTCTAATACATGTAGGGCATATTACTATTACATAAAGGTACTTATACACCATATGGACAAAAGTATTGGGACACACATTTTAAGAATTCAGGTTTTTCATTCTGTCCCATTGTTACAGGTGTATAAAAGCACCTAGCCATGCAGTCTGCCTGTACAAACATTTGTGAAAGAATGGGTCGTTCCAAACAGCTCACTAAATTTGAGCGTGGTACTGTAAAAGAATGCCACTTTTGAAACATAAGTCAGTTCACAAAATTTCTTCCATCGTAGATATTCCGTGATCAACTGTGAGTGGTATTATTGAACATTGGAAGCGTTTAGGAACCACAGCAACTCAGCCACCAAGTGTCAGGCCACATAAACACCTGTTACAGAGCGGGTCACCGGGTGCTGAGGCGCATAGTGAATAAAAGTCACCAACACTCTGCTGACTCAATAACTGCAGAGTTCTAGACCTCCTCTGACATTAACATTAGTAGAAATATTGTGCACCGGGAGCGTCATGGCATGGGTTTCTATGGCTGAGCAGCTGCATGCAAGACTTACATCACCAAGCACAATGCTAAGTGTCGGATGGAGTGGTGTAAGGCACAGCGTCGTTGGACTCTGGAGCAGTGGAAACGCATTCTGTGGAGTGAAGAATCACTCTTCTCTATCTGGCAGTCTGATGGACGAGTCTGGTTTTGGTGAATGCTAGGAGAACGTTACCTGCCTGCCTGCACTGTGCCAACTGTAAAGTTTGGTGGAGGAGGGATAATGATATGGGGTTGTTTTTCAGGGGTTGGCCTAGGCCCCTTAGTTCCAGTGAAGGGAAACCTCAATGCTTCAGCAAACCAAGACATTTTGGACAACTATGTGCTTCTAACTTTGTGGGAACAGTTTGGGGAAGGCCCTTTTCTGTTCCAGCATGCCTGAGCCCCAGTGCACAAAGCAAGGTCCATAAAGGCTTGGCTGGGTGAGTTTGGTGTGGAAGAACTCGACTGGCCCACACAGAGCACTGACCTCAACCCCACTGAACACCTTTGGGATGAACTAGAACGGAGATTGTGAGCCAGGCCCTCTCGCCCAACATCAGTGTCTGACCTCACAAATGTTCTTCTGGATGAATGGGCTAAAAGTCCCACAGACAAACTCCAAAATCTTGTAGAAAGCTTCCCAGAAGATGGGAAGCTGTTACAGCTGCAAAGGAGGACAAACTCCATAGTAATGCCTATGGATTTAAAACGATACTTCGTCCATATAGTGTATTAGGTACTTACATTTATAATTCATATGGTGCATATTATTCTTACATATAGGTACTTAAATGTAGGTACGTACACATATAATACATATAGGGTATGTTATGTGATAGTTATATAATACGAATGGGACATGTATATATATGTATGTACTCTTCTGTGTGTGTATTTGGGTACATTCACACACTGAAGCTACACACAGTGAAAAAACTAGATTGTTTTCTGTTGCTGGGCTGGGAGGACAGGGCTTGTAATAGTTCTAAAGTGGCCAGTTTGGCGGGGTTTGGTTCTGTGGCAGCTGAGTGGTTTGGACTACAGGTGCGCTATTTAGAGAGATTTTTTTGTTACTTTGCCCTCTGGTCACAAAGTGTCTCAAGATTGTGTATGATCCACCCACTAAACACTGCTGTTATGCTGTCACTCTTGCATTCTGCCTCTCTTGCCGTCTTCTCCCATTCTCCTCCCGCTTTGTATTCCTCTGCCTGTCTCCTCTCTCGCTGCTGCGATCGTGTTAGGTCTGTGACCGTGAGTCAGAATATTAGTCCAGGAGTGAGGAGAATCCCACATAACATCAGAATGGAGTCCAACACGAAACCTAACGTGTGTCTACAAAACTGCTCTCACAGTGTGGATTTACATTCTGTACAGAGAGGTTCAAGTCAACAGTTTCAGTGTTTGTTTTGACAAAGTGGCTTAAACATGTTTTTTTCTTTGCACACAACAATAACTCATTAATTTCAGATCATAATAAACTTCTCCTCTTCTTACAAACACAAATGTGGTATCAGCTGAACATTTTGAACCCACACTTTTGACAGGGTTTCAGTGAGCTCCAACCAGAGTTGGGTAGTAACAGAATTTATGTGACCATACAAAGGTAACTTTATTCTGTTACAGAAAAAGACAGCGAGTTACATTTTACATTACATATTACATTTAAAGCCTTATTTGCTATAAACAGCCATATGCAAAAAAAAAGGAAAAAAGTTCCTGGAAAAAAAAAGTTTTTTATTGATTTTCTAAGTGAAAATAAGTTAACATATCCTCTACAGAGAACATTTTAATGCCCAATTACTGTTTATTTGCTGAAACCTAAAAGATTGCCCAATTCATATTTTGTTTTATTTTTTCCAATATGTAAAACTCAGCAAAGAAATAGAAATTAGTAGATAAATGTCAAATTTAAGTGTGTTCTCTAAAGAGGATGTGTTTATTTACGTTCACTCAAAAAATCAGCAAAATGTCATTTGACTGGGGGTGTTCAATTTTGCATATGACTGTACTCTCAAAAAAGAAAAAATGCTTTCAGCGGGTGATGCGCTGTGGAAAGCGCTAAACTCTCATGAAAGAAAAAAAAACACAATAATGTGTTTACTTTGACAGCTAGGAAATCCACATAATTCTCATGAGTGCAGTTTGAAGCATAGTTTGCCTTGCAGGATAAAATAGGAATGTGTAAATATTCCAACATTTATGTGTTACAAAATGTGCATGCCTTACTTAAATACCTGCTGAACTTCACCAAAACATTTAATGACTATTTCTAATGAACGTACATGTAGCACACAAAGTGCAGACAATTCTGTACCACCTACATTGTTTCTGTGCATTTCTGTTTACCGTGTGTTTGCTTCATCCTGCTGAAATTGTTTTTCTCTTGTCTTTTATTCATTACAAGACTTTTAAAAGAAGTAACATAACCAGATTACAGTACTTTAGCCTCTTTCTGCAAGCCCACTGGTGGCCAGCCCTACCAGCAGAATAAAAGTCAACTGCAATGTTTTTAATATAATCAAATAACATATTTTTATTCATAACTCTGTTAGCAGATTAACTGGGATACTGTTGACTCTGTGTTGAGCTGCTAGTGAGCAATTAGGGGTGATAGGGGAGGGGTGAGAACCTCCTGCTGTGAAATCAATCCATATCTCTCCCCAATAACAGCCGTGCTGTGTACAAGTGCAGCTCTCTTGTTACACTAAAGCAACATACACTGTCTTTTTTCCACCAGGTTGAATCCCCACTAGCAGTAGAGGCCCTGTTGGGTGAGGCGCCGTTCTCTGTGGTGGATGAGAAAGTGTCCATAGTTGATCTGCGTGTCCATGCCATCTCTGGACTGACGCTGAGTCTGCAGCCCAGCCCCGGCAACAGCCACACCATGGTTGCCAAAGCAACTGGCTTACAGACGCTCTCCGCTCTCAAGCAGGTATTACAGACTTATTTCATAACGTGGGCCGATGTCATCGTGTCTTGCTTTGCTTAGGTCTTTTTCAAAAGGTTGTCATTGTCTGAAAAAGATGAGAATTTTCACTGGATGCATATAAAGAATAACCTGCTGTGACCTTATCATTTCAGTTCCTTTCAAAAAAGTTTACAGAAGTATAATGTTTCTTTCTTTGATGACAGCCACTGACCTTTTAGCCTGTTTTGAGAGCAGTAGATGATAGTCGTCAAGAACGCAACCAGCCCTTTTTCTTCCGACAGGTGTAATATTCTTCAGAAAAGATATGAAAGATGAATGAATCTGAAAAGTTAACCAGCCATTTCAGGGGTATACAATTTCCATGGCAACGCACCATACCATAATACTAGCAGAACCAGAAGAACTGCTCTTGCAAATAATTAAAGTTGTTGTTTTGTTAGACCACTAGACCAGCACTGTCTCAGAAAAATCTCCTTTCTCAGCTTTTGACAGTCATGATTTTTTTGGGTTGTTCCCCTTTAGGCTGTCTGGGTAAACTTTGAACATGGAGAAACTTTAATATCACTAGGCCAACAAACTGAAGAAAATGAAGACAGAGGAGTCCAGTTATGGTCATTTCCCAGCTCAGACACAATTACTAAAGCTGGTTGTTGACTGATGAGTCATATCAGGTGTGTTTGAGCAGGGAAATCCTCAACCTGTACTGGACTAAGGCCCTCCAGGATTGGAACTGGACAATATATTGTGAAACCTCTTTGGTACCTTGGTTGCAGTTCTCTAACTTCATACATGTTTAGTACAGAAACAAGTATATAGGAACTGTAGCAGCCACTTTAGTCAAGAGCACAAAGGGTCTACTAGGGTCAATCCAACCAAGTTGACAGATCTCACTTGCTGTTTCTCCCAAAGCAGCTTGTATTGCATGGAGTTTGGACAACTTCACACGGCTGCTTAGTCAAAGTGTTGTGCTCATCAAACGTAGATCACAGAACCACGCCGAACTGCACTAGCGAATAATTATATGCATTTAGAGTTGGACCTATCAATATTGCAGTGCCATCACATTCCCTTGTAACGTTAAGTGACATTTGCTTCAGATTCTTTGTTTCCTCTAATATTTGCGTATTCTGAATTGGACGAACTCTGATGGCGCATGTTGATGGTACAACTCCTCGTCAGGTTCTGGAGATCCATCGGCCAATTAGCTGTAGCTCGCTCTGCCAAGCTGGCCCCATAGGTGCAATAAAGGACTGTTTGACATTCAGACGTATTCAAATCTTCCCCCAGCATCAGCGCACCAAATGAGACGCCGTCTTGCTTAATAAGGAGCCAAAAACACGCCGCCACTTCTGTTCCTTCCCGCTCGAATGGCACCGGGGGAGCGCCGTACATTTGCTTTGTAATCCTCCCAAAGCTTTAATTGAGGCTCGTATTTTGGAGCGAAGCTCCCCCGGATGCCGCCATGCTAATTTGCCTAGACGTCTCGGGCAGATACCCGAGCTCCACCGGCGGGAGCTTGGGACCGCACTTCGTTTTTTTGCTCTCTTTCTTCGTCTTTTTCTCTCTTCTGTACTTCAACCCAAAAAGCATCAAACGGTGGCTGGCCACTCTCAGTTCATGCATTAGAATCTAATTGCCCCCCCCCCCCATCCAATAGCTTGGCCACCTTTGGATTTAATTAGTGTAATGTATTGCCCTAAGTGCTCATGCTGTAAAAGCCTGCGATGACCCTCCTCTGTTCCGGTCGCTTGGCTCTCAAAGGAGAGCCTCCAGCCGCTGCAGCCGTTCTGCTGGCCAGGAAAGTTTGCCCCCGAGCTCTCTCTTGCTCCTGCCATCCCTACAGCGGCAATGATAAATGAACAGCGCTGCGGAGTGTTGACGGTCACGGTGTCAGCAGAGGCGTGCTTTGTCCTCGCTCATGCTTCTGCTTTGTCCCTTGCATTATTCCCCTGATGTGTGTCACCGTTTTGTTTCAGGCCGTGTACGAAAGAGCTCATACTCATGCATCTGCATCAAGCTCTCTCCCCTCATTTGCCTGACTGGAATGCTCAAATAATTAATGCGCTGTATGCTAATGTGTTTCTTTCCTTTCCTAGTGTTCCATAAATTCCCTCGATTGTTGAGAATATAATAAATTAAGGATCTCTTCCACCAAAACATGCTCTCACATCGTTGCTGTTCTCATTTTAAACAATGCATTCATCATTTCCTAGTCAGACTCCATTGAAGCTTTAGAGAGCTGCAACTTAGCCCCTCTTTTAAACTAGAGTTCCAAAAGTTCATCAGCACAGCATTTCGCCTTCAATGTTTTATTCAAGCCATGCATATCAAAGGCGGCCTTCTTCTTGACAAGCGAAGATGACAGTGACTGGGCCACAATGTCAGAGCAACCTTGAAGGTAGCAACAGCGTCAAAGACTTTTAAGCTTTCGCAACGAGCCGTAACAGAGCGAAGCCAGACAAAACATTTCTTTCCCCATCTGAGGAGGGAAAAAAAAACTAGACGGAAAAAACACACTTTGGCATTGCTAGCTAAAAGCACTCTGTCAAAGAAGCTTTTCCTTTTGTCTGCCTGATAACAGGTGTAGGGCATGGTAGAATTGTTTTAGCTGCACATTGGAGCAAAGGAAGGCAGCAGTCAAACCCATACTTGTTCTGAGGGTGGTACAAACACAAGTCTTGAATCAGTGTCATATTTCCTCATCCCGTGTTCCTAATGGTCAGATGCAGACTATGGAGTCATATGGCTAGCTGCAGGACAAAGAGTTACATGATTGAGGGTCGTGAGTATGGCTTTAACAGTCTGTTATCAAAGAGACTTATTTACAGGTAAGATGAAGGCTGCAACGTTTTGCTAGTGCTGATGGAATCTGTTCTCAAGCTGTGTTGATCCCAGTTCTTTTTTGATAATGCTCAGGTTAGCCCTGCTAATGCCTAATTGCACACTGAAGATAGCAAAAGTGTAGTGTTAAGCACAAGTGCAGCTAATATGTTTGTACTTGCTGCTCAGACTGTGTCATGGAAGAATTCCCTTCTCTGTTTCAGAATTTTGAAAAGACACTGTCTCCACCTTGTTATTATTCTTTGTTGTGTGATAAAAGCATGCAGTGTCTCTGAAGGACCGGCTGAAAATGACATGGTGCTTGAGGGAAGTGCTCATGTTATGACTGATTCCCATTTCATCTTGCTTTTTTGCAGGAGTCCACCCTCTCCATCTGGGTCTATTTCAGCGACAACACGGCTGCCCCGCTCGGCATATATGACCCAAAGGACTACAACCTTAATGCCTCCACGCTGGATGATAAGGTGGCCTCCATTTCCCAGGAGCCTCAGCAGAGGTGGCCAGTCATCATTGCGGAGGGAGAGGGATCTGGGGAGATTGTGCGTGTGGAGATGACCATATGCGAAGCCTGCCAGAAGACCAAACGCAAGAGCGTGATTGCTTCCTCTCCGGTTCATGTCAAGGTCCGCTTCGGTCCCGAGGAAGATTCCGAGGAAGTTGAAGAACTAGAGACTGAGGTGGAGACTAAAGTCCCAGTCAGTACAAGGAGAACCATAATTGATCCCAGTATCGGTGCTGGCTATGAACCATCCAATGAGCAGCCCGCCAGTGTCCCAATCGACTACACCAACTTCCCCACTATCAGCAACCAGGAGCGACCGACGGAGGAAGAAGAGGAGGAAGATGATGAGTTCGTGCATTCACCTCGTAGCATGACTGACCTGGAGATTGGCATGTATGCCCTTCTGGGTGTCTTCTGCCTTGCAATTCTGGTCTTTCTAATCAACTGCATCGTGTTCGTCCTCAAGTACCGGCACAAGCGTATCCCGCCAGAAGGCCAGGCCAACATGGACCACTCACACCACTGGGTGTTCCTGGGTAACGGGCAACCCTTGCGAGCTCAGAGCGACCTTTCCCCACAGACGGTGGAGAGTCCTAGCAACCCGTTGGAAGGGGTACAGACTTGCTGCCACGGAGACCACCACAGCAGCGGAAGCTCTCAGACCAGCGTCCAGAGCCAGGTCCACGGCCGAGGAGACGGCAGTTCCGGTGGCTCGACCAAGGAGCCTGGGGAAGAGGCTAGTTCGCCCACGTCCAAGCGCAAGCGCGTCAAGTTCACCACCTTCACTACACTGCCCACAGAGGAGCTGCCCTACAACTCCATCCCCATAGCTGATGAGGAGGACATTCAGTGGGTATGTCAGGACATGGGCTTCCAAGACCCAGAGGAACTGCATGATTACATGCGCAGGATAAAAGAAATCGCCTAATTTGGCATCTAGGAGCTTTCTAAAACAAATGGCCTAATTTGGCATCTAGGAGCTTTCTAAAAGACCTTTCCTTTCTAATCTTCTCTTTTTTTTCTCCCCTCACTCTAGTGGAGTTATCTTTTCACACGAACGAAGGAGTGACCGAGGCCTACTGTCCTGTTTCTTTGGGGGTCGTATTGCACAGTGCCATTTTCCTTCTAAACGTGTCGGAACAGCGGCGAAAAATAACCGACAAGAACAAAAAAAGAAACAATAGGTGGAAAGCCAAATACAAGACTAGAGGATCTTTTAATCGCTAGCACAAATGGCTTTAGTGTTTGTGTCATCCTTTCTCAGGCGAAGAGGGCATCTCTAACGGAAACCCAGTGTTTTGAGTTCTCAGCAAACAGTGTCGCGATGGATTCCTCAAGCGCTCCATCACTCCTATTGGGAGGAGGTGCGGGTTACCCTGCTGTGGACAGGATCTTTCTCAGAGGAACGCTGCAAGTCTTGGCACTGTGTCCGTAGTTCTTTTTCTTTTCTCTCTCTCTCTCTTTCGAACATCCGAGTATTCTTCTCCAACAAAGAGGCCTTTGTAGTGCAGATTTTAATTTTACTCAGAGAAAAAGTGTTTGAGAGGCATCACTCTCTTGCCGCTGCTGGCAACGTACAGTTCTGTTACAGTAAATGTCAAAGACTATCATTAGGACACGGATACTGTTTTTTTTTTTTTTATGCCAATATTAAAAAACACTGAATGGTTGTCTCTCTATCCCCTTTTTAGCACTGTCTTCGTGCGACACCTTTTTTTTTCCCCTCCAAATTTCCAAATTACTTTTTCATACGTCTGTAGCATTTTCATACTAAAGCCTACTTTTGGATCTCTGGTTCACTCATTTCCCTGGTTAAGTCAGATGCCTTATTAAATGAATTTTAACAATCACAACCTCTCTTTGTGTTGACACCATGCTTGTTCACGTTACTAAGCATCGTTGTAGGCTGGGTAACTATCCAAACTACTTTACGTCATGGAAATTGGTATCAGCGAAGGGGGAAGGTAGCAGCTTGTACATTGTGACATGAAATATGTTCTCCAGCCTTCATTTGCATGACAGGAGAATTCAAGGCACAACCGGCTGTTTTTGTTTTTCCCAAAATTTGTAAATGTTTGTATTGTGGTAATTATCTAATCATGCCTAAATAACAATAGAGGACATATTATGTTACCATGCATTACATGCATGCGGTGCCAGCCCTGCCCTTCTATGTACATGCCATATCCTGCTTAATCATTTCTACTGAAGCTTATTGCCATTGCATTTCTCAGTTCCCCCTGAGACAGGGTGGATTTCAGACAAGTGCTTGTCATTCATTTGGATCTCATCATGTGATTATTATTCTTTTAATGTTCTAACCACTCACTTCCCACGCAAACATAAGGAACTCTAATTAAAACACGAAAATCTACTTGAACACATGCAGGATGAGGAATTCTGTGTAGCAAATAAATATGATCGGTATTATCGTCACTGAGTTGTATGTTTAAATTATGTACATATTCTTACATACTTCTTACATACATCTTTATTTATACATGTAAGCATTGTTCCCTTTTTTAACTAAGCTATAGTTTTGAAGACTAGGAATCGCAGAAACACATTATTATGCCTGCCTTTTTACACTAGTAAATGCCAGCTGGGTTTGCTGGTGGAAATGCCACATTGTTTTTTACCAGCTTTATTTCTTATGATATTGATTATATAATTAGCTAGTTTTCTGTAGGGCACATTAAAATCACTTCTAAGCACTGAAACTGTCATTTACTAGTGTAGAAACATTTGGAAGGGGTTTGAAAGTATTTAGTCGGTTGAGGAACGATTGTTCTGGAGATGTTGCTGACCAAGCCAAGGATGATTTATTGGGTACGGTCTCCACAGTTTCTTCAGGACACAGTAAATCTCCTGAAGTCATAAATGCATTCATTTCTTCATTGTGTCTTGCTCAGTCAGTCACATTAATCATTTTAACAATGAGGAAACATACATTTCTGTCACAATTTTCTTTATTTATTGCCTTTATCCTCTGGTTCGAGCAGAGGCCCATTGCACTCTAGGTCAGAATCACAGAAGACCTAATATTGAACCCTGACTCACCTCACGCATCCCATTCTGCCTTATATGATTTACAGCACTCCCCATCTTCTTATCCAAGGTTTCTATTTAAAAATGAAATATCCCAGTAAAAGTAATATGTTGAAATGGCAATGAAATTGTACAAACAGGTCAAATTATCATTTTTATATACAAATAAAACCGTCCTTCCTTCCATCTCAAGGTTTCAACAGTTAAATTAAACCTGAACCTGAACGTTAGGTTTATGACCCAAAGCTTCAAATCACAAGTTCAACGATGGTGTCTCAGGATGAATGTATACCTTCCAGCTGTACTTTGACCATCAAAATGAGTATCATGTCCAATGTATTACCAAGGCCAACCAGTAGGGTGCTAACGCTTGATAAAACTACTAGCAAGTTTCTAGTAGCAGCTCATGCATTCTTACTTGTCTTCTTTTGTTTTATTTTCCCCACCATGTCGGTGCCATGAACGTCAGAACGTCTGCCTGTCACAACACTGACCCCTTGCATTTCAGATTGCTTTATACCTTCCTCCATGTATATATGTATATGCAAAACCATTTTGTATTGTGACGCCACAATTATGATATGTGTCTGTTTTTTAAAGGAGCTGCTACTAGGTCTTTGCTACGGCCACACGCTGTGATGTGGAGTAGTACATTTTGAGCTGTACTCTATGGGAACCTGCTAAAGCACGGTCATGGCAGTGCTGTGCTGCCTCACTCTTAATGTACAGAGCACTGTTAAAACTCCTGTATTCTTCTGGAAAAAAAATTAAATCCCTTGTATTCCCCACTTATATGTAAGTACTAAAGAAAATACAATGCATAAACTCTTGTGTACGGCCTCTTTAATGCTCACACAATAGAGTATTGGCATGGTTCTCTGCTCTTTGTGGAGTCATTGTTATGCTATAGAACAGCATTAATATTTTTCAAAGCTGCATAACTACCATGCAAGTAGGGTAGGTTGCCTTAACAAGGCTGCAGTTTGCTGCACTACAGAAAGCATGCAGAGACTATAACTTCTGATCGACCTAGGCAGCATTTTGATAGAAATGCATTACCACCTCTCCAGGCTAAAGGCGAAGTAGGGAATATCTTGAACGTCATGCTGGTTCTCCACTTTCTCGTGCCTGGCTGCATGGCTTGTCACTGTATCAGAATAGTAATTAACCTGTACAAGAAAAAGAGAAGCATTTTCTCAGCTCAGAATGTGGTTTAGGGCCTTACAGTGACACTGCTCAGAAACTTGTCATTTTCCGGGCTTAAATTGGGATTTAGGAGGTGGGGATCGGATCCCTATTTTGTCAATGTGGAAATAATATCATTAATTTTATACGGTATTTTGCAAACATTCCTGCACTAATGTCATGAAAATGTGATTACAACCAGTAGGATGTTTTTTTCCCCCATAATGGTGTAATTACGCCAATTAATATATATAAATATATAAAAATAAATACTCACCGAGCACTTTATTAGGAACACTTGTACACCTACTCATTCATGCAATTATTGAATAAGCCATTTGCATTGCAGTGCAGTGCATACCGTCATGCAGATACAGGCCAGCAGCTTCAGGTAATGTTCACATCAACCATCAGAATGGGGAAAAATGTGATCTCAGTGATTTTGACTGTGGCATAATTGCTGGTGCCGGATGGGCTGATTTGAGTATTTTTGTAACTGTTGATCTCCTGGGATTTTCATGTACAACAGTCTCTCGAGTTTGCTCAGAATGGTGCAATAAAGAAAAAACATCCAGTAAGCAGCAGTTCTGTGGATGGAAACACCATGTTGGCGAGAGAGGTCAACTGATTGGACTGGATTGAATGGACAGAAAGGCTACAGTAACTCAGATGACCACTCTGCACAATTGTGCCGAGCAGAAAATCATCGCAGAATGCACAAGACATCAGACCTTGAGGCGGATGGGCTACAACAGCAGAAGACTATGTTGGGTTCCACTTTTGCCAGCTAAGAACAGAAAGCTGAGGCTGCAGTGGGCCAAAACTCTGGAAAAAAGTAGTCTGGTCTGATGAATGTCCATTTCTGCTGAGGCACACGGGCAGAATTTGGTGCCAACAACTTGAATCATTGACCCAAGCTGGCTTGTGTCAACAGTCCAGGCTGGTGGAGGTGGTGTAATGGTGTGGGGAATATTTTCTGGGCACACTTTGAGCCCAGTCAGTCATCACTTGCATCTCTTCATGGCCACAGTTTACCCATCTTCTGTTGGCTACTTCCAGCATGATAATGCACCATGTCACAAAGCAAAAGTCGTCTCAAACTGATTTTATGAACAGTATTCTTCAGTGGCCTTCCCAGTCACCAAATCTGAATCCAATAGATCACCTTGGGGATGTGGTAGAACGAGAGATTCAAAGCATGAGAGTGCACCTGAAACATCTGCATTAACTGCATGATGCAATGTCAACATGGACCAGAATCTCATAAGATTATTTCCAACATCTTGTGGAATCCATGCCACAAAGAATTGAGGCTGTTTGGAGAACAAAGGGAGGCCCAACCCAGTATTGTTGATTTTCTTCTAATATTGATTTTCTAAGTGAAAATAAGTTGGGTTTTTTTTCGTTTTTTTTTTAAATCAAATTAATTAGCATTAATTTCTTGAGTTTGTCATATTCATCAAATATAAAAATTTCTTCTGGCCACATTTATGTCTTATTTTTCATATCCAATATAGTTATGCAAGGCTGTCAAATTTAGTAAAAGCCCATTCACAATGAACAAGCCCACTGAACAAATGCTTGATTTAGTTATCTCAGTTGCGTATTTGGCAATGTAAACTTGGCTATGTTGAACAAAACCGTTTGGAATTATTTCAGATGTAACAGGATAAACAACAGCAAATAATCTAGGCTACTTAAAGGTTGAGGCATTTATTTAGCAAGTCAAAACATCAGGAAACAGCAAGAAGTATTCAGTAATGATACAAGGAGGGTGTATGTGCAGCAGCCAAAAGCAAAACAAACAAACAAACGTATAACTGGACTTATCTAAAACCTCAGTTTATCATTGTTTGGTTAAATAGGTTTCATAAAGGTTGTATTTGAAACGATTTACATTTCCATCAAACTAACATAGAAGAGTTCACACAAACCAAAGCATGTGATCTGGTCCAGTTTAACCCCTGCTTATTTTAGAAAATGCCTTTATGCTTAGAAGAAATAGCCAATAGTTACAGTTAGCTCAGAGCTGCCTATCAAATGATTTAACTAGCCTTTTTGGTAACATAAACAGCTGTTTGCCCATTCTTTGAGCAATTTTGCAACACTCAGCTTCATGTTCATCAAAGCGTCTTCTTTGGTATGAGGACCAAAGACTCGTTTGATGGTTTTCTTTTTCAAACTATTGGTAAAAGCACACATTGAGCCACTTTTGGCCCAAAAGGTGGTTCAAACAGCTGAAATGTTTGAGTGCTGATGAACAATGACTTAATATGCATTGGTTTCTTCAGTCTGTCAGTTTTTGAAAAATGGCCAGGTCTAAACAGCTTTGTATTTAATATGTTAACTTATTCCATTTGACTATAAAAGAATAAGTCTCTTTTGGAAAAGGTAAG